TTAAACACTAATTCGAATATATGCAACGAGTAATTACAAGTTCAATAATTAATCAGTTTTATAAAAATTTTTACACACATAAATATTAAAAAAAGCTGATAAAAAGTAATATTTTTGCATTTGCATTTCAAACTGTTAACTCGATTATTCGATTAACTTGAAAGTACCTGATTTGAAAAACGCGGACTATAATGTATATGTAGTTAACACATCATGAGTCGTTTACTTTTCATTACATCAAAAATCGAAGGTTGAATAATTAAATTAATTTTGAATACGTCTTAACGTAATAAATAAACATTAAAATATGATTTTTGTTTTATTTACTTAAAATCTTTATATTAATATTATTAATTTAATAAAATATGATTAATGTTTTTTTAATTCTTTGGAATTTTTATAGTTTATTATATTGAAATTTATTTATTTATTCATTTCTATTACTTTGAAAAATTAATTGAATCACGTCTTTGTTGTCTTTAGCATTTTTAAAATTTTTTAATCAATTTGTATTAATAAGAAAGATATACGATTTTAGCGCCTCGCATTTGAAATAATATGGTAATTAAATATGAAAGAAATACAAATATTAGTAATACGACCATAATGTGATAATGTTAATGTTAACGTTTAAACTAAAAGCTTCATATAAATTATTAAAATGTAAATGCAATTAACTATTGTAACAATATTTATTTATTTTCTCAATAAAATTTAGAAAAAACGAATTATAAGTATTTATAATAGATATTCATTAAGAATACTAGCTGAGAACAGGAATTTAAAGTTAAATTTTCGAATTTGTTATTAAATAAATGCAATAAGAAAGGTAATCATTGTTGTTTTATATGTGTCTAATTTTTTTTATAGTTATACACAAAATTATAAAAAATCAATACGGTCATATTGTGCATGTGTATATATATACATATGTATTTCCTTACCTTTTCATAATTTGTATATGAATTTCGAATTTTTCTTTTATATAATATCGAAAAATGCAATAAATTTAGATCTAATATTAAATAAATTATTAAATATCATGAAAACAATTAAAAAATTGAATCAATAAAAACCATAAGTTTTCTCTTGTATTTAATTGAAATTTTATTTATTAATTTTTTAACGTTTCATACCCACAAAAAGAGTTCTATTAAAGCATATGTTTTTAGCCAATTAAATATTCAACAAGGGAATTTTCCATTTTTGTATGACGTTTTAAAGTCGGAAAAATCGTACATACAAAAGTTGTAAAAAAAATTACATTGTCATGAATATATGAACAGCTTATTTAACATCACATGAGTATAAGTTAAACCTATGACGGAAAGTCATTTTGTATGGCGTTTTTTCAGTCGAAGTGTCCCTGGAAACTTTCGAATATTGAGACCGCGTTCGAAACGAGGGGAATTTAATGGCGGTCGAGGAGCCCCCACCCTGACCTCGTATGCAGAGACAGTCAAGGTGTCAACAGGCGAGGCCGAACAGAGTTTACGTGATAATTCTCGTCTGTTCATATTTGCACATTTATTTTACTACTTATCGTTTTGTATTAGCAATATTTAAGTAGTGATAATCGAGATACATGTTTTCAAAATAACTGGCGTTCGGAGAATGCAACTATTCAAAGTATAGCATAGTGCAGATTTTTCTGACGTGTATGTGTGTATACGTACATAATGTTTTGATTCAATCGCAACTGAAGTTTTATCGCATTTACTTAGTTAAAGAATGTTTCTTAATTTTTGTTCATCGTTAAAAATCGTAGTGTTGTGTCGCCTCATTATTTGTCATTATAAGTTTTATAATAGAGTACTTATGAATCGACATTTATTATAATTTTTTTTTATTTAAGAAGTGTAAAGTCTAGTCATAAACGGTATGTTTGACGCTTGCATGATTATTGTACAACGTGACTGTGACACTGCATACTTAAACACTATTACTGTGATGTAAAATTGTTTTTATAATACAGAACCAATTATAGTGATTAATAAACGTTTCTATAAACAACTATGATAATAAAATTTTATTGCATATTATTGATAATAATATTATTTAATACTTCTTCATTTAATTTTAATTTTCGTATTTAATTTATTAGTAAACAAAAATATATTATTTTTTTCATATATATTGCATTGCTATATAAGAGATATAGTAAAAGTTTTAATAAAGGGTTTATATAGATAATTATTTCTATTCTAAAAATTACATTATCTATTCAATAATAATAATTTTCTTATTCTTATAATAATAAATAAATTTTGTTATTAATTATCACTAAGGAAATAATAAAAGCTTGTTTTTTCAGATATGACTCTTTATATGAGTTCCTTACAACATAATTGCTCAAAACATAGTCCAATGAACGTGGATGATGAATTTTATTTTATCAAGCATCAGTGAGGCG